TGAGTCAGAGCAGAATCCAGCGGACATCGTGGCTAGAGGTAAATACCCATCGGAGTTAATAGGAAACCAGCTGTGGTTTCAAGGGCCATTATTTTTAAAAAGTAATAATCACCAGGTTCGACATAATTCAGTTACATTAAAGGAAATCCCGGAAATAAAAAAAATTACATATAATGCGTTACTTGTTAAAACAGGATCCATATTTCATGAGATCAACCACAAAAACAACTTTGATTTTTTACAAAATGTGCTGGCAATGATAATAATGTTTACAGAGAAGTGCAGAAAAACAGAAGTAAAAACATGGATAAGCTATAAAAAGGAAGCGCTAACACTAATAATTAAAATTGTGCAGAAAAACCACTTTCCAAAGGAGTTATCTCTTCTGCAGAATAAAAAGGAGTTGCCAGGAAAGTCAAATATCAAGTCCTTGGCTCCATTCGTAGATAACAAAGGGATAATAAGAGTAGGGGGACGAATTCAAAATTCGCAGTTGTGTTTTGAAGCCAAGCATCCAGTTCTTTTGCCGTATGCAGATAAATGGGTGGAGCTCCTAGGAACTAAACTTCATAAAAAACATTTGCACATAGGACCTCAAGGGTTACTTGCAATAATCAGGCAGCGGTTTTGGCCCTTGAGAGGGAAGCAAATAGTCAGCAAAATTACAAAAAATTGTATCCGCTGTTTTAAGGCACACCCAAGACAGATACATCAGTTTATGGGAAACCTGCCCGAAGATCGAGTAATTCGAACACGTCCGTTTTTGAATATTGGAATAGATTTTCTCGGGCCCATAGCCATTCATCATAAAATCAGAGGAAAACGAGTTGACAAAGCCTATGTGTGTGTATTTGTTTGTTTTGCTACGAAGGCAGTGCATTTAGAAGTTGTGTCAGATATGACTTCTGCAGCCTTCATAGGGGCTCTGAAAAGATTTGTAGGTAGAAGGAGCTGTCCACAAAAAATTTACTGCGATAATGGAACGAATTTTATAGGCGCAGCAAATAGTCTGAATGAAATATATAAATTATTCAAAGACCAAATTCAGATAGATACAATAGACAAGTTTTGTGTGGAGCGGCAAATTGAATGGGTAAATATTCCTGCTAAATCTCCCCACATTGGGGGACTCTGGGAAGCATGCGTGAAGTCCGTTAAAAAACATTTTACGCGTTCTATAGAAGGAATAATGACCTTTGACGAAATGACCACACTAATGATAGAAATAGAAGCGATACTAAATTCAAGACCATTAACTCCGCTGTCAGAAGATCCAAATGATCTTCAGGTTCTAACCCCAGGGCATTTTATATTGGGAGAGTCTTTTTCTACAATAGTAGACTCAGTAGACAGTAAAAGTTATAAAGGGTTGCGAGACCACTGGAAGGCAGTTCAAGAAAACAAAGAACAGTTTTGGAAAAGGTGGTCGTTAGAATATCTGTCCGAATTGCAAAAGCGTTACAAGTGGGATAAAGTAATGCCAAATTTAAAACCGGGAACCCTTGTATTATTAAAAGAAGAAAATCTGGCCCAAATGCATTGGAAGAGGGGCAGGGTCACAAAGACCATTGTAGGTAAAGATGGCCTTTGTAGAATGGTAGAAGTAAGGACAAGCAATGGAATATCGCTGAGGTCGGTGCACAATGTTTGTCCTTTTCCTGCCGAAGACGAGGATAACTCGTCAACTGCGGTAGTTACAACCGCAATACAAACAAGTAACCCAAATAAAATACAAAATAGTTATGAAAATGAACAGTATAAACCCAAGCCTGTAAAGTTAAAAAATAAGAATGTAATTTTATATATTTTAACATTTTTGTCGATATTTAACAATGTTAAGAGTCAAAAAATAGAATATTTAGAAAATAAGGCAGGGATATTTTTTGAGAACGTTGGCGACGTGGGATTAACGCGGACATCATGGAATATAATTATTCACGCAAATCTGGATGAGTATTGGGCATTTAAGCATCGAATAGAAGCATCTTGGTCCGTATTACTACATCTTAAGGAGAAGATTCAAAAAGACACAACTCTAGACTCAACGATGAAGCTGTTAGAAAACAAATTCAATAGGCTAGAACAAAATAATGACATTATTGTTCAAAATCAGAGGAGCAAGAAAGAACGACAACCTCGAGCGCCGCTCAGTTTCATGGGCAACGTTTTCCACGCCGTATTTGGATTAATGGATGAAGACCATGCGGACGTATTGCTCAACAAAATCAACCAGAGCAGAGACAACGAGGAGTATCTCCGGGACCTAATTCGTAACCAGTCATCAGTGCAGGATTCTACAATAACCATTATGCGGAAACAGAATGAAGTCATTTGGGACAATTTCAAAGTTATTAACAACACGATGTATACGTTGTCAAGTGCTATAAATAAGAAACTAGACAACGATAACATTCTTTCCGCATTAGAAAGCTTTTCAATTGGAATGGATGCCTTCGAAGAGTTGCAGCGGGACATCATCGCAGTAGTCTGGAACACTAAGGGGAATTTTCTGGGGAGCTTGATGCCGTTGAAGCAATTTGAGCAGCAGATTCAAGTCATGGCTCTAAATATGCCTGAGGGCGTCCAATTACCAGATACGGATCCCGTCGAGCTGGGTAAAATTGCAAAAATAACGACGAGGGCTACAAGTACCTCACTGTTATTTAACATAAGAATCCCATTAATAAATCACAATAAAATGAGAGCTTATGTAATCTATCCATATCCCACATTACACGATGGAAAATTCGTCAGTATTCAGCCCGAATTTACTCAAATACTCGTCGATGACAACTCAGCCAGTTTCTATGGACTAACAGAAGGAAATCTGAATTACTGCCAAAAGATGGAAAGGCTGCTATTATGTCCGCAAATCCACCCAATATACAACGTTAACGCTGCTACAAATTGCGACATATTACTTTTACAAAAAACAAAAACGCTACCGCCTACCTGCCAGGTAAACGTGATGAACCCGCGAAATTATTGGGCTCAACTTCACAAGGCTAACTCCTGGATATTTTCACTGCCAAATAAAATAACAGCGGAAATGCATTGCAAGGAAAATATCACAAGCCTCACCATATTTGGTCAAGGGATCCTTCAACTTAATACAGGATGCTTCCTACAAACTGAAGAAGCCAACTTGTGGGCATACGAGGATACTACTATGGATGTTAACTTCCGTCTACCAACAGTAAATCTGTCCAGCCATTTGCCTGAAATAAGCCATATGCAGGTAGAGGGTGAAATCAAAACATATAAGGTACGCGATATCCCAAGGATCAAAACAATCTTCGATTTCCCGATTCATCTCGATACGCATCAAATGGCACTTTACGGTATCAGCATCACCTCCTGGATTGTCGGATTTTGTCTCATCGTGGCGATCGTTATCATCTTTAAAAAGATGTGCCAACTTTCTACCCAATTTCTACCCGTAACATTTGCCTTACCACGTTTATCCTAAAAACTAAGAAAATATATGTAATCGTGTATAATTAAAATTAAACTTAAGAAACAATACTAGTTGAAAGGGAGTCCTTTCAAGGTGGGGAGCATGTTCAATTCTAACGAGATCCTAAGTAAATGTAAATTAATTGATAAGCTAGATTTGCTCTGTCTAGACCACGAATGGTACATTATCATATTGTTATAGATAAAACCTCGATAAACAGACATGCTCTCTTATACAGATAATAATGAGTTCGGCCTTAGATGCCGAACATAACACCAACATTTTCGTAGCTGGCAGGCGCCAGCTTAATAGATAAGGATGTGTAAGTACACAAATCATTAGCTCAGGCTCGCCACCGCGCTGGATGAGCATGCTGCGGCTGGCTAACATGAGCTACCTGATAAAGTACGCACACATGGTAGAAGATAAGGAATCGATGATAGTATGTAGGCGATAGCATAAGAACTAGGATAAGAATTTATATATAAATAAAGCAGTCGAGCTATCGACGTTGTTCATTCATCCACAAAACTTTGTCGCGTATTATTATCCTCCCACCAATCCTGCTCCGCTCAATACAAGCTATGAATTGCTTGCTGGAGCCAGTCATCTGCTGAAATAATCCTTGCGATTAGTTAAGCGCCGAGAGAAAGGTGTATATCTTTTGGATTCCGGGACAATGAGGGTGTTAAAATGGCTGAAAAAAAGGAGCAGAGTTAGCAAGCACAAACCACATGCGAGCACTAATCTCTGTTAGAGTGCTCCACAGCAGCAGCTTGAATCATAAGAAGGCATGGAGCAAGGCATGAACTGCAAGATCTCCCGAACCATCTGCATGGGGAGCGACAAAAAACTCAATTAACTGCACCTGCAACTCCAAAGAAGGGAATGCAGACTCATGACCAACTCAAAGGTGAGTGCTTGATAGTCGCCCATCACAGCTATCGACAAATGCGAGGAATACAAGGAACCGGCAGCGGCTACCTCCTCAAATATCTGCTTTTCCACAATCCAACACTCTCAACATACAGGCTTGCCACATTGCTAAATCGCTCTTCAAACTGGTGGCCAATATCTAGCAAGATTAAGGACCCATTTGTGGCAATAATGTAACTTAAGCTTCTGGCTGTTAAGCAGAGTAGAGCAGAGCTACTACTTCAGGATGACTCATTGCGCCAGCAATTATTTATTTATTTAACTATAGTTAACAAAGAACTACTAACGTTGCAAGAACAAGAACAATGTAAAAATAATAATAACAAGAAGAAATTTAAAAAAAAACTTTAAAATATACAAAAGAATTCAATATATTAAGTAGTAGAACTTAAAAATAAAATTCAAGCAAGTGGAACAAGTAGTAGAGTAGGATAGGATTACAGATTATCAGAATCAAGTTGCAAGTATATTAATGGTGAAATAAATAAATAGGTATGCCTAGCAACTATTTTCGTTTTCTGTCATACTCTACTTCTAGTATATTTATATTACATTTCGCATTCGTAGTCAAAAGTAATCAGTAATAGTTGCTTATTTGTGTTTCTCGTTCTATTTGGTTTTCCCCTTTTTTCCCCTCCCCCCACAAAAATCGTTGGTATAATTTGTCGATTTTCAAGCTCACAAAAACACTTTCACGCACAAGAGTGAAGGCTGCAGGCAATATAGTACTCGAAGGAAAGTGTAAAGTGCACACTTGCGCCAACTTGGCTAAGATGCGAGCGGTAAGTAGACGGATCGACGCACATGCAACGCACATCGTTCAACATGAGAACTGCATTTGCTCCGCTAGTTTCTGGCGCGTGCCACATCCTACGGCATTGCTGTGACGCTTGTCAACTTCGTGGTGCAGGAAACTCTGCGCCTCAGCGTGCGTGAGTGAACCGAGTTGACGGATCACGCACTGACACGGACCACACATCCAATCCCATCCATTCCACTTCAGTCTCAGATCAGATCGGAGCATATATAATCAGTGGTGGCTCGCATGGTTCCCTCGGCGTATAATTTGTGGTTGTCTGTCTCTCCTCACTTTAAACATTGACAAGTTTCGTGTTTTGTTCGTACAACAAACAAACAAACTCCGGAGCAGCAACAACAGCAACAACAACAACGTTATTTATTGTGGCAAGGTTGGCACAACTGGCGATTGTCTGGCAGCGCATTATAAAATATTCATTACGCATACGCCATGTAGCACAATTAGCCATACAGCCAATGCTCCCTGCATAGTTAATGGCAAGCATATGGCATCGCCAGCTGAACCTGCAGCGCCTAATGGAGACAATGTCTGGCCTCTACATTTGGCTATTAAGCCATACGCTTACTGGATGTGTTGAAGGATCAATTCGCTGGCAAGGATTAGCGGCAGATTTTGTGCGGAATTCACTCGAAGGACAATCGTGTAAGTCCCACCAGCAAATTTTCATTTTCATTTGTTTTTACTTACATATTTTTTTTCAATTCCAAGCCATCTTTGCCAGAAGTAGGTTGGAGGTCTCTTTCAAGGGTTCGAGTTTGGAAAAATTATCATTATCCTAGTTTGTATTTTGAGGCCATAGCTTGAGAAATTGTTACTACACGTGATAAGCAATTTAAATTTCCACTAAAGTATGTTTCACACAAGTGTTTCTCGTAATAAATCAATTTAATTTATTCATTAAACAATTGTGATGCTCTTTTCTTTAACTCCTATAACTGTCCTTGGCAAACTTTCAAAAATAGAACCAAAACAAAACTATTCTCACACCTAAATTGAGTTGCGAGTTCGCTGAAGCGAATTTTCACGAGTACAGTAATGTTTATGAAATTGCAGGCAATGGGATGAAATGAAAATATAATGACTGTATGTGATTGGATAAAGGCTTCAGTGGAATTTGAACACTTGAGCCGCTGGCATTAATTTGTAAAATTCGGTGCGAAAATAAAACAAATTCATGTTTTGAATTCAAATTACTTTGGATTTTAAAAGTTAAGGTAGTTAAGTAGCGATGGAAATTGGAAACTTATAGAAGCCTGTAAAGGATTTAAAAACTATTTTAAAGGATGCGCTTGTAATTAGTGTGATTAGTTTGGAAAATTTGGGGATTGCGGTTCACACTAAATACTTATACATACAAGTATATGCTTCATATGAGGCTTTTTAGCTCTACTTAATCAAAATCTAGGATCACCAAACTTCGAGAAAGAGAAAATGTTTAAGAGCAAGTTTACAAAAACATCTGCGGGTAGAAATTGCGATTGCTTGAGGAACCTCAATCAAGTGATCAATCAATCAATTGCAATGGATTCTTTGTACTTTATACTCTTATATAACAGAATGTCGGAAGTTTGTCCCGGTTAGGGCACTTCTTTGTTGGACTTGCTCGACTGTAGTCGAGTTTATCATCTAATTCTGTTTGTATCATGAGACATTTTGAATAGATATTATATCTGAGTACCCCATAGTGCTTCAAATGTTTTGATGTGAAGATCTCTGGATTCGGCCCATTGTACTTAGCACGAATGCTCGACTCAGCAATCCGATCTTTCTATTGTCAAACTCACATTTCGATATGCCTGCGCCAACCTCAGAAAATATTCAGTTTCAAATCAGTGCTCGAACTGAGCACATCAACAAAAGCAAAAAAAAAAAAAAAAAAAAATTAAAAAAAAATAAAAAAACAAATCGAAAAAAAATCTAATCTTAAGTAAAAAGTGGTTGTTATTTTTTTTATTATTTCGGCTTAAGCGCGAAGTGAAACCAATCTTAGGATTAAGCGGAAAGTGTTTGATTTAGTTATTTTGTTCCCGTTCAGAGGTTATGTAATGTAACTATAGTGTATTTTCATTTATCCTTCCGTATACCCATTGGCACTCCTGTAAGTATGCAGCAAACGTTTCTACCTGTCCTAGTCCTAACAAAAGCGCTCTTCTGCAGCACTATTTACGCACGTGGATCTACAAGAAAAACATGCTGAAATTTTATAAGAAGAAAGAGAGACAGAAAAAAGAACAAACAGGATTTGACTGCGACGCTGTACCCGGATTGAACCATACACCTTTCGAGATAACTCACTGAATGTAAGTTTACGAAGTGCTCCGAAGAACTCTGAGTGAAAATTCTGCAGCTTTTAGAATTTTCACTTTTATTCCCGGATTGGACTATACCTATGATAATGTGAGAGTGGACTGATTCTGAAGGTTATATGTATGAACGAACGCAACTCTAGTTTCCCGATTTCGTCTATATATTTATATATTTTTAGCAGTCCATTTTCAATTCGCTCTTCGAAACATCTTTTTCAGACAAGTAAGTTAAAAACATTTCAAGGCGAAAATATTTCAATAAATAAACAGCCTTCTTGTTGGTGTTGTTCTGAAACAGCGCCCATGTTTCCAAGACAGATGGCAGCCCATACACATTTTTCGGCACTGTAGCTCTTTTTTAAGCAGTGCGGAGTTTTGATATTCGCAGAAGGGGAAAGCTACCTATGCAAATATATTTTGATATGAAAATCCTAAATATTATGTATATTTTGATACGAAAATCCCAAATGTTATGTATATTTTGATACGAAAATCGTAAATCTTATGTATATTTTGATACGAAAATCTTAAATGTTATGTATATTTTGATATGAAAATTAAAAGTTATATATTTTGATACGAAAAGTAAAGTTGCATTTATTTGTAATTATTACGTATTCCTGTTACTTTTTCCTCTGAAATATGGCAACAAGTAGCCTCTGACTTCCACGTGAAAACAAGGAAGAGCCATGAAAGTTTGCTCTGTTCGCTTATAAATAAATAATGTTAAAATGTCTGTTCTGTGCTGCTAAAACATTTCTTTAGAAATTAGTAATGGGAGCGGTAATGGGAATGGGGATTGATGGTAACTAGCTAGCTAGCGAGGTAAGTAGCTGCCTATTGTGAGAATTTATTTATTTTGCAGCTCTTTATACTTAGTAAGGAAATAATTGTTGGAAGCTAGAACACATTTTTGTTATCAACATATTCTAAATGCAATCGGCAGCTCTGAAGGGAAGCGATTTAATAAGCAACTATGCTCGTATATATATATTCAAGCAATTGCACTCACAACGATAATGCCATAAATGAGCCTAAAATTATGCTAAACAGCTGCTCTTGACGCATTCAAGCGTGGTAGTGCTGGCAAAGGCAGTCGGGCCAAGAGTCGGGCCAACAGTCTGGCAGACAACGTTGATGGCTGAGGCTCATTTATAAATCGACGACAGTAAATTATAAATGGCATTACTGCTATTACAACTAGCAAGTAAAGCTGTTTGCCGCTTTGCCGGCTTCAGTCTATCAGACTGTCTGTCTGTCTGTTTGTCTCTCTGTCTGCCTGTCTGTCTGTCTGTCTGTTTGTCTCTCTGTCTGCCTGTCTTTCGGTCTTTCAGACCCTCTGTGTGGGGCTTGTGTGCCAATATCAACGCCTTCGTAAAATTGAGATGTCGTTTGTCGCATGTGTGTCTCTCTGTGTGCGTGTCTCTCTCTGTGTGTGTGTCTCTCTGTGTGTGTGCCTCTCTCTCTGTGTGTGTGGGTGTGTGTGTGTGTATAATGTGGCCATGTACGCATGAATGTTGCAGTATATTAAAGTTCAAAAGGCAACGACGACAGACGACAACTAAGACTAGTACTGTCGACTGCCTGCTTGCCTGCCCCCCCACCCCCCAAACCCCACCCCACCCATGCCCAATGCCATTCCACGAGTATTCTCCTCGAATTCTGGCAGCTGTTGTCGCTGTCGCTGCTAGAGAGTTGGAGGCGTGTAGTACAAGTTTAACAACGGCAAAGCCTAAGGATGACAAGTACGTATACAAAAAGTCGAAAAACCGGAAAAACTCTGGACCACACCACTGGTATGTGTAGAAAGAAGCGAAGAACAAATAAGTCAGTCAGCCAGCCAGCCAAGCAGGAACTGAGCAAGCCAGCCAGCCAGCCAGTTAGCTATCGAGCCAAAATGTAATGTAAGCAGAGCTCTGTGCGGATTTGTGCTTAGTTGAGAACTAGAGAAAAAGAAGAGGCGCGACTCGCGCAAAAGTCGCCGTTGGCAGCTGCTCTCCAAACCTCCAGAACTGCAAACCTAGAGCCCACCAGTCCTCCTTCAGTTCTCCTTCAGCTTACAGCGTACGAAGCGACGATATGCTTGGATGGCTTAGGAAGTAATTTTAGGATTGTAAATCCTTTTGGAAAATTATAGCGACAGTCAGCTTGCAGTTAGTGGCAGTGGCAGCTATCCTATGATAAGATCAGGCTTGCTCTTTGGCTCAAAGAAGGTGTACATACAGATGTGAAAACCAATGTAACAATGTTCCACACGCATATTGGGGGCTTGCGTGAGGGGGGCGTGAGTGGGCGTGAGTGGGCGTGAGTGGGGGAGAAGTCACGTACATAAATTTGTGGGGCGCGGTTGCAAAAAATAAAGCATGCAGTTACCAATTTGAAAGTGCTTCGATATAAAATATTTGCTGCACTTCCTACACCCACTGAAACGCACACACACACACACATACACTCTATATATATTTGGGTATATATGCGAGTTGCAACATTTGTGCTTACAGCAAAGATTTGTAGTGTAGCCGTAGTGGTGTTGGTTTTGGGCTCAAAACACATAATTCAAGTCCAAGACTCTGACTGGCTAACCGGAAAGGCCAGTGTTGGAGGTGCATTTAGGCATTAATTAGTGTTGGAGAATACGAGCTTAATGTATTCACAGCGCAATTTGCAGTTATAGCTGTCGATTGCTAACAACTAGCTATCAATAACAAATGCAGGACAAATACAATTTGCTTTCAATTCATTTCTCTATTATTCAGCTAAGTTGTGTTTGAAGAACTGCTGAAACGGCGAAGAAGAGGAAGAAGAAGGTCACACCCCGCCGATCTTGCTAATAGATTTATATAAAGTATAAATAATGAAATAAGACTAAACTCCTAGTTTAAGCTGTATTTCTACTTTTCCAAGGGCATAGGCAGCTTTTACCAATTTTGATTAAATAATGCGCGATGCATTTAAAAAATAACTTATGCATATGATCAATGAAAAAACTTCAACAAATCCAACTCAGATCTATTTTAAGGCAAAATAGTGCCCCCTGCCTACGTCCTTGTACTTTTTTATACTTTATATGTTTAAGTTATTGTAAATAATAACTGTATAATTAAAGTTTTACATTAAAAAAGATTAATAATAATATTTCTTATTATTTTTTACTTGCCAAGATGCAAGGCATATCAACTGATTCTATATATGTCCTTCTAGGACAAATCTTAAATAAAGCAACAATTTACAAAAAAACTTAATAATTGCCTAAACTTTGTTTATTGGAGCATTTCATTTATAAGGGTGGACTTAGATAGGTCTTATAAGTAGTTGGGCATTTCCTGAACCCGTTCTCTAGTTATATTTATCGATTCGTTTGATCTAACAAAGTCTATACATCATAGAATCTTGGAATTAAAGACCAATTGAAAACAATATTAAAAATGTGTTAAGAGCTTCCCATTTTTCTGAGAGTTAAAAAATATAACTAAATACAGCTTCTAAGTGGATATATTCGAGCGGTTGTATGACCATGGTGTAGAATATTTTTGGCCAATTTAATTTTCCTTTTCAATGCAACTAGCAACTTTACTTTTATTTTTTCGCAGCTCATAAAAATGTTGTTATGGATTGTGTACAGTTTGAAATAATATTAGAAAAGTTGCCACAGCACTCCATATAAGTATGTATAGTACATGTGTGTGTATACTTGTAGTTTTATTTATATTATTTTTTGTAATGGGAACTTTCTTTTTCTGGCCAACTTCTGGGTCTGCTTTTTGCGCAAAGTTTCATTTCCCATTCGTTTATTTGGATGTTGTTGCTGTTGTTGTTCTTGCTTTTGTTATTGTTGCAGTTGGTGGTTTTGTTCTTGCCGCTGATTTGGAATTGAAATTGCAAAAGTCGTGCTGCCGCTAACTCTAACACGTGGCGGCAAAATTTGATATTTTATTTGAATGCAATGCCCAAATCCAACTTAATGCAACGACGAACAAGAGGTGGAGAGATAAAGAAGTAGACGGAACCTGAGCTGGAAATCCCTGCCCGGGCCCTGCCCGGCCTCGAACGAATGAGCATATGGAGAAAGCACATAAACACACATACTCATGTAACCTCAGCTGTGTGTGTGGGTGTGTGTGTGTATGTTGCTGCTTCACATTATTTGCCCGACTTATTGCACTGAGAGTTACGGCTAGATGGCTGTCTGCCTCGTTGCTTTGCTGCTTTGCTGCTTTCCTGCTAACGGATTTTCTTGTCTATTTTACCGCCAACGAAACGCTGCTAACACAAAGTTGAAGCCAAAGCCCATATGCCAAAGCCAAAGTTGGAAATGTGGCAAAAACTGCTGCAGCCGATAGAAAAATATTATGTGAGAGGCAATGCATTGCTCCAAATTGGACCGCTGCTCCCACACAGAGGAACAGAGGATCTCAAGTAAATGCTTGTCCATTCGAGACGAAATTGCTGCACAAACATTCCACGTAGTACGTTATCGAACGTTGTTTCAGGTGCCCACAACTCTTAGCTCGATACCAGCTGTTTTCTTATAACTTAATAATAGTAATTGAATAATAAATCAATTTAACTTTTAAAATGGAGACCTTTTTTTTACTATAGTATATATTCACTTTTTAGATTCGATATCGCAATATCACGGAGGCACTTATGTTTTCAAAAATAGACTATGGTCTATCCATCTACAGGCCATATACACAGCTGAAGGCTTTTAAATATTTCTTGCAGTAAAATACCAATCAGAAATCAAAAAAAAAAGAACCCAAGTGAATTATATACTACTTACCCACCAGAAGGCAAAAGGATGCCACTGCGAGTTGTTACCCGACTTCGTCTCGGACACACTGCTCTCACTTTTGGACACCTACTCCAAAAACAGGATCCAAGTCCATTCCTGTCACCTTACCGATCCCAAGTGAACATTACTCCAGGAATATACCATCATTAAACATTAAACATTGACTAGTGCATGAATTTATAAGAATCTTTATTGTCGCACTAGGAACTAATAATAAATAAATAAATAAAAAAAAAATAATCATATTATTACTTTACTAATATTAAATGCGAGCAAAATCATAAGTAGGTAAAGGATTAATTGATAACCTTCTCTTTTAAAAATAATCTTTTTATAGTGTTTAGTGTTTTTAGAATTTATTAAACTACAAGTAGTATTCTGCTACCAATATGGAAGCCTAAGCTAGTTGAAATACAATACAATGTATAGTATGCATATGTATACTTAAAATATAAATAAATAATAAAGATTAAATATCCTCCCCTAGCTGATGCTGATCTCAACTATAAAATTGTTTGGACTGAAAAGTTTAATTCTATTTCGTATGGAATTTTGAGTAGTGAGGAGGAGAGAGAGTGTGTATATGTATCTAGACTTAAAAGCTTTAAAAATAATGCACCCGAAATGTTGCTAAATAGGAAGAAGCACTGAGCCGACTTCAGGCTACCAAGAAAAACAAAGAAAATTATTAAAAACGTGCAAAAAATGCAGTGCAGCTTG